CTACCTGTATACTACATGACCTTCGGATATCGGAAGCATCATCACTTTCGGGCTGTGGTAAGTGATCATTAGATCACTCGGATTTATATTTGCTCTGCAGTTAAGAAACATCTATGAAATGCGGAAAAAACTTAATTTTTAGTACAATATTAATGAACTATTTATTTTTTTATGAAACAACAAATTAATTATTAAACAAACATATCTAATAATATAAAAGTTAAATTATAATTATAAAATTAGACTTAATTCTATTCCGACATCAGATATACCAACCTAAGACGATTTGGTATTTATGAAAAAACGTTTTTACTAAATAATATGGCCCAAATAAACTTTAAAAATTATAATATGAGTGGCAAACTAAAGAAATTACAAAATGTATGTATTGAGAAAATTGTATTGTTAGCATTTTTACTAAAGTTATCAACTCAATGTTCAATACAGCAATTGGATAATGACAATATTTTTAAAACTTTTTCTCATCAAAATAAAAAATGTTTTCAAATATATATTTTACAAATGTTTTTATGAAAAATGTTTCAATGAAAATAATTAAAAAATATTTTATCGTCATTTTTAAAAAACATTTAACATATGCAAATGTTTTTAAAACATTTAAAAACGTTCTGACAATGTAATGAAAGTCATTTAAAAACATTTGAAACATTATTGAAAAAAGTTTTGAAAATATTAATTTGCTGTATAGCTACGTGTAGCTTGATTTTTTACACGATTTGGCACACCTATACCTACTTATAAATTATAATGATGTTGATGTTTGAATAAACATAAAAATATTTAGGTGTTTAAATTTTAAAAATGTATATTTTATAAATGGAATAGGTAGTGAAATAATAACAAAACGTTGTTTTTAACTCAACTATAAACAAAAACCTGTAAAACCAGTCTTATGGCAAACTTTGCCTTGCCGGGGATTGGAAGCGATGATTTTTTAAGGGATCGTGTGTAGGCAATTTTGTGTTCAGCAGTATTTTTGGGTGAAAATAAATAATAATTATTAAATATTATTCGAGTGTGTGTAGATACTAAATATGTAATAATATGCGTTCGAAACCCATCGTACTCGGCAATGTTTGAGCTCGGACACCATCCGAATCGTGTAACAGGACAACCTGGTGCGTGCACGTTATGTCGACGTACACTCCGATAGTTAGTATTTTTGATCAAAAATATGACTTATTCGAACAACTCTCATGCCTTGTTAAGTGGTAAAATTTCAGACTAATTCTTCATTGGGCACCATACACTTTGATTTTAATAACTGTATTTTTAAACGCTATAATTAAGTGTTGTGACAATAAATGTCGTTAATTATAATATTATGTAATAGGTAACTAATAAGTAATGACATTTTCAAGACTTTAATTTTCAATTTTTTTTTGTTTAGTCAACATTTACGTTTTTATGAGTTATGAGAATGTTAAATTTTTTATCTACATCAAATTCTATTATAATATGATATGTACCTATAGTATCTACTTAATATTTTGTTATATAATATATATAATTCACCGATTTTAAATGTAGAATTTACTATTGCCTCGAAGCTTATAAATAAATATATTTTGACATACATTTTATCAATAAATAAAATAAAAAATAAAAAACATTCCTAAAAAATTGTATTGAAAAATATTACAATATTTTTATAAATTTAAACTTATATGATTACGTATATTTACCTACGTACAAAATAACACAATTACTTCTGCGTCTTATGCGTTGTCCTTGTATTTGAAAAAAGTAATCATGGTTTTTCTTCAAAAATACAAAATATTTTATTTTATTCTCCTTGCATGCATTTTCGGGTGTTAAATCTCTTATTGAAAAAGAACATTTAACTTATACTATGGAATCATATCCAATATGCTCGTTGGGTAATATTGCAAATAAGGTAGTGTAGGATCAATCCAGCAGCAATCACTTTGTAATTGTAAATTGCTTCTAAATACCAATTATTCTTCAGTGACAGGTTTGAATTTTCGTATACAATAACTATATAAAAATATGTTAAAATTTAACATATTAAATATTTCGCTAAGTGTACCTATAATAGTCAACAATATTTTAGATTTATCTGGTAACAACTGTTCCGTGAAAATCCTGTTATGCGTAAATATAAAATAATATACAATTTAAACAACTGCATTTTTCCGGCTTGTGTTTTTTCGGAGCTACATAATATACAACTAGACGTTGAAGTCAATCTGATTGATATGAAATCTGCGTAAAAATTATGGTCCATCATTATAAGTTGTCAGCGCAGGGTTACAACGAGTTTTGTAAGAACCTACAAATCTTAAGTGATTATTTTATAATATATGTATATGAATAAAAATAAATGTAGTTTAATTATCTCTAACTGTAAAATGTATTCCTATATATTTTTCCACAATTCTATTGTATTATTCAACTAATGTACCTACATTATTATTATTGACGAGGCTAATTAAATCGAATGATAGGTATGTCACTAAATGTACAAATACTATTACATCGTTTCAAATTTCAATTTTTTTTTGTAACTCTGAAAAAACACCTATAATTACAATAAAAAATAATGAATAAGTACTATATAATATAACTTATTAACTTATAATGTAATAGGATATTTTGTGGCAACGGCGGGAAGTGAGCTATTTCAGTCGCGGGCGACGTGTGCGGCAAATAAAAATAAATAAATAAATAGGTAGGTAGGTAAATGTTTGAATTATTTGTGTATACCAACATTAGTGTAGGTATATCTATCATTCGAATGAAATTTCTAGCATATAAATTTAGTAGGTACTATACTGTGATCAGTGATTGACTACCTATCATTAATATTATATTATCCGGCATGTTTCAATGCGATAAAAAATTGTAGTTACCACGGATATACTCAGATTAAATATTTATCATCTTATCTCTTTTTAATTATCACCATGTTTGTACAATATCACATATACGACCGTGGGAACGCCTTGGTGTAAGTGACAATTATTACTATCTGTTAAAACTGTCAGATCAGCGAATTCTTCCCTCACTAAGACCGGGTACCAGCAGACACCTTAAGTGCGTCGTGGGACCTCGGACAGTACGTTCTAGGGAAATCTAACATGTAGCTACTGTGGCAGTTTTTGCAAGATTCATCTATTCTGTTGTATTAAACATACCAACATTTTTAATAATCATAAATTGTAGTTTATTCCTCACTCCATTGCATTAAACACCGGATGAGTTTACTTTTGTTTCTTTTCTAATTTAAGGGGCCTGGTCGCGATTTTTCAAATTTTCCGCAATTCTATAAAATTTGAAAATTAAATTTTATATTTTAGTTGCCACCTCAATTATAAGACTTTTCCACTAATCTACTACCCAATACCTATTTAGGGGGGGTTGATAGGGTGTATTATATCGGTCAAAACACAGTTTACAGGAAAAACTCTCACACCTCATAGATTGGTCCGATTTCCCTAATTTTTTTTTTGTTAGATAGAAGAATATTTTTTACAGGGCGCATTGGACTTTGATTTTTGATTACGTTGCTAAAAATAAATAATAATACAAAAACTAAAAAGTTGTAAAAATGGATTAAATTCAAACTTGTAATATAAGATTTCGAAAAATAATTTTGAAAATCCAAGTCCAATGCGCCCTGCAATACGTCTTCCTCTATTTAACAAAAAAAAATTACGGAAATCGGACCAATCTACAAGGCGTGAGAGTTTTTCCTGTAAGGCTTGTTTTTGAGCAAAAAAACAGATCGCGACCAGGCCCCTTAACAAAAAATTGTTTAATCTGGTATTTTATCAATATTGTATCTTTAGGTACCCACAATCTACATGGTACAAAAAATGCATTCCATCGTCTTCTTTATTGATAGCTGGTACAGTGGTACTACGTTGTTCCACACACTTGAGTATACATCAGACTGAACGGACGCATACAGTTAATTAAGTATGTAGGTTTACATGAAACACGATTTTATATAGGTATATTATATTTTCGCAGACAATTACTGTTTTGTCTTATTGAAATGAAAACTAAATATAGGTAACCTACCTGCCACGATTATCATAATCGTATGCATATTTACGGATGCTACTCGAGACTGGCCAATAGATCCCAAATTCAGTTAGGGTTCGTAAAACAAATTTATTTTACGGATACTACTCGAGTCTGGCCACTATGCCACTGCGGTCTACCAAAATGGACGTGGTCTACCGTAATAATATTAAAGTAATAAAGTACAATAATATTAAAAGTATAATAAAGTATAATTTAAAGTATAAAAAAAATTTAATTTATTTTTTATTACCCTGTGACCCACTTAGGGAGGTGTTGCATAGCAAGTCGGGGGATATTTTCGATTTGCGGAGCGGAGCGACGACGCCGAGGAGCGTAGCGACGAGTGCCGCTAGCACCGCATCACTGTACGATGTTTTTTTCAAATTGGTGGCTCGGTGCAACAAAAATGCAATTGATTGAAAAAACATCGTACAGTGATGCAGTGCTAGCTTTACTCGTCGCTACGCTCCTCGTCGCTACGCTCCTCGGCGCCGTCGCTCCGCTCGGCAAATCGAAAATATCCCCCGACTTGCTGTGTAACACCTCCCCAAGTGGGTCACAGGGTTGAGAAAATTGCATTTTTGTTCCCAGCTATATAGGTAGAACACATAACATTGATAGACCGCATACTATGCTCATGTTTATAGTTACGTAGCACACAAAACGGAGGTAGACCGCATATTGGGAGATAGCCCTGCTTTCATATTGAACTTTTTGAGTCTTTATTTTAGTATAGCGGTATATTACATAGTGGCCAGACTCGAGTAGTATCCGTAAAATAAATTTGTTTTACGAACCCTAACTGAATTTGGGATCTATTGGCCAGTCTCGAGTAGCATCCGTAAATACGCTACCCGTATATTATATATTATCATTTATCATATTTATTTCGTTTTGTGTTTTATAGCAAGCGGGCCATTTGAGACATGATCAAAATCGAACACGATACCTATAGGAGACCGCGACGATACGTACTGTTCTACTTGTTCGACAGCCAGACTAAGAACGTGGTCAGCGACATAGATATGGTGATTTCACCAATAACCACAACGACATTACGACCTGGTGCAAGTCATCCATTCATTAAAGGCAGTTTTCGGGTCATATCTGGTCCTGAAGCGAAGGACATGTGTAAAGCCCTAATGGTGTGCCAAGATCGCTACCAAGTGGCAAGTACCAACTAGGGGAATATTGTGTTCGATAACCAGCGGAGTTGTTCAAAATATCATCCTGGTATTTTTAATATATTAACATTGGCCAAGATTCAAAATATTTTGAAAATTATGCAATTTATAGATAATGCTAATAAGACATTTGGTAAACATTTCAGGTAGGTATCTACGGTTGTTGGTTTTTAAATATTACTACAGTCTACAGAATAACTGAAATTGTTATTCTTTGTTTAAATACTTTATCTAGTTTCGTCCATATTTTAACTTGAAAATTACATTTAAAAAAGTTCTGGAAAAATATTTTTTAGATTTTTTGTTTTTAGTATTAACTACTTATGAGGAACCTTATATTCTTTTTCTTAAACCTTAACTATAAAAATAGAACTTCAAACGCATATAAAAAGTGGGTCTACTCTCAATTTTATTTGTTATGTAATTATTTCCTCGCTTGGTCCATATTAGTACCTACCTATAATATTATAATTTATATTTAACTACTATAAGTACTAAGTAGTATAATAGTACCTAAGTACTGTAACCTTGACCCTAGATCACATTCTATAGAATATTATGTGGTGTATTCTGAATAACTTAAAATTCCCCCTCTTCTCTTAGATATACTTAATTAAAGAATTCTTCCTAGTTTATATTTGTTAATTTGTTATGGTTACATAATACTTATAGTTTATTATTTTTTAAATTTATAATTATTTAATTTAACTACAATTTATTTTTTAAATTATATTAAGTTTAGATATGTGTGGAGGCCCCTGAGAGGTAATAGAGGACAATTTTTACTATTTTTTTTTTTCTATAAGTAGTTATTTATTTTTAAGCGTACCTATTGAACATTTATTTATGTGCTAAAAATACATTCGGTGTTTGGTGCAGGCTTATTAGGTATATACAATCATACCGATACCGACCGTCTAGCTATTGTATATACCCATTAACTAATTGAATACAAATATTACAATTTATGTATAATTTAATAATTATTAACGGCAAACGCTGTTTAAACACGTTATTAAAAACAGATATGAGATACGAGTTTAACCTTTCATTACACTCGAATAGTACAAATTATATATTTATATTGGTTAATCGATGTTTAAAGCAGAATACGTCACTGCGTAGAAACGGCGTAAGTGTTGGAAGTTTTGATCGTAATTTACAACACAAATCGTGGCTCAGTTTGATTTCCCAGTTATTGTTTCCAAGACAAGTAGGTAGAGTGAGTTCCATGCCGGGGTTTCCAGCCGGACGGCTTATTGTTCGGCGGCGAATATTTCTATTGACATTGTTACTATATACGATTAAAATGATTAATACGTACATGTAGGTACATTCATTGCGTATGCCTAGTTAGTCTTTTTTCATTTTGTAAACTATATTGAACCTATTTCATATTAATATAAATTATACATCGAATTTTAATTTCTAATTATTTTGTTTTAGTATTAGATATTTTACATAAATACCATATATATAGAATCACTCTGTGTTACCTATATAATATACTATATGGGTATGCTTTACAAATTGTTTAAATTATTAGTGTTCTAAACTATTAACTAATTATAATGTACCTATGTTTATAGTTTGCATTGTTTACCATTTTAATACATTCCTGATAGCTATATAGTGAAAGCAGTGTTTGGCAAGTTTCTTATAAAAAGGAATTCGTTCCATTCCTTGTCTCTTAAAAAAAAAAAAAATTCGTTCCTTTATCGTTCTTTTGGAAAATTAACGAGTTCCTTTTTTAGTTCCAAATAAATAAAATTCTTATTTAATTATTAATGTTTTTTACTTTTTTTTCATGTGCGAATACTATTTAATTTTTAATTATATATACCCTACAATTAGGTACATCGTACATATTTTATAATTCTATTTTGAGATTTTAATCAAAATTAAATTATTGGCCGAAGTATGTCGGCTGTCTTATCGTTTATGGTTATAAATAATTATGTTCTATATAAGTACTCATTTCTACATAAATTATAACTTATAACATATGACAAATATTAATAAAGTAACTAATGAATAACGATTAACGTCGATACTCGATAACGATCACTAATTGGCATTATAAATTATACACATTAAAAAAAATATACCTTTATTTCAATTATTTACATATCTGTGTAAATTATTGGAACTAGAAAAAAACGAAAAATGTTGTTATTTCTCCTTGAAAAAAAGAACTTGTTAATTTTCTTGTTCTTTTAAAATAAATTCGTTAAAGGAATCCGTTCCTTCCAAACACTGAGAGAATACACTATACCTAGTTTATTGAGAACCAACTACAGCTAATATAGTACTATATTATACAATTTGAACATAGAATAACTACCTATAAAAAAATTTTGAGATTTTTTGGTTTAGGAAGAACCTACTTACATGGAACATTTTTGTAAATTTTCAATCCTTAGCCTTCAACTACAAGTTTAATATTGTAAACATTTTTAACTACAAAATCATTTTTAATTTTTAATTATAAAAATTTAATTATTGATAAATGTTGTCAAATATCGAACTTTGAATGCTGTTAAATAAAATTGTTTCCTATATATTTTTAATGTTTTACAATTGCTATTTAAGCAATATATCAGGAGTCTTGTATTACATTTTGACGCTTTTTGGCCCAACAAATAAAATTTTATTGATATTCATAGCAAAAAAAAACTAAAAAAACTAAAAATTGATAATGTCCATAAACAGCTCAAAGCAATTTAAAATATTTTGAATATTTTATGGTGTATAGCAAATGCTAATATTAATGTTCAGTGAAAATTTCATGTATCTACGGTCATTAGTTTTAGAGTTACGACAAAAACCAAAATCGATTTTTTGGAAAAAGATTTTGTCAAAAAGTTCCCGATTTTCCTTCATTTTTTTTTTTGTTTTTCTCAGCGCTTTTAAAAATTACTGGTAATTCTCTTGACCTCCTCAATGCATCAAATAGATTCACTTTCCCATCGAACAAGATACTAAAGTTGAAAATCGAAGCATTATTTCCACTATTTATCGTGTACACAGACACAAATAAAAAAAATACAAAAATAAATACATCCATGGCTCCGCTCAGAATCTAAAACGAAAAAAAATATAGGAAATAGATATATTAGAAGACGTTCGACAATCAACCAATGAACCACACGATATTTCCCCCCCCCTTCCATTATTAATTTGTTTTATATTTTATTCATTATGACTGCCTAGTACCTAGTACCTCCGTCTTCCTCTATAAGATAAATACACAAACCAGAATTAATATATATTTGTATAAAACATTTACTATTAATAAATAATAATGTTATATTCTCATAGTTCAAAAATATAAGAAATAATATCTATCACTATTTTCATCAATAAAGATGCATAGTTTATTGTATTTATGTATTAAATTATAATCTCATACTTATTATTTTTATATTTTAATAATTAAAAAATATAAGACATATTATGATTGCTTATATTCTATTGTCTATTGTAATCATACACAATATTGGACTACCAACGGTGGCGGCGTGAACTTTTTTCCCATGAAGCAATAAGTACCCATGCACACATCAATTTTTTCACACATTTTAAACGCAGATCGTATATGTGACTAAGCGAGTATAAATTATAAACTAGTCTAGCCGTCTAGGTCTTGGAGACTAAAGTCAATGGGATATCCACCCACCAATTTCGCATGAGGTGAACGCTTCATAAAATAGCTAGGTATTCACATCACCACTGACTACCAATGTATATTAAAAAATAATTTTTCTGTTCTAATAATTCAAAAATATGATATATACGATTGTCTGCTTGTGATTATATTATGTTTTCATGATTAATTTTATATTTTAATTATTTAAAAAATAAATAATATTATATGGGTACCTCTTCAGGTACCTAAGGCTTATCGTCTATTGTAAGTTCTAATAAATATTCATGCATTATAATATTGTTATAATAAAAACACAAAGAGCATTCATATTCCATGAATTTAGAATTAATTAATATTTTAAGACTAGGAAGGAATATAGTACTAAACTTATAAATTAAAAAAATAATAAATTAAAATATTTATAATCATACTTATAAATTATGGCATTATTTTTCTTATAACAACGAAATGACGAGGACTGTCATATACTTACTATAGACAGCCATTAATATTAGAATATCATACATATATAATATATATAGTATGTAGTGGAGTTCAGCAGGTCATTGAAAGAGTTTGCTAGTATGTTATGACGGTCGTCAGCGGATATCGGGATATAGGCGAACGACTGTCATACGGACCTCAGTGATATATTATTCTATGTTCGTTGTGAACTTACATATGTAATAAAAATTAAAAGTGTTTCCGACCATATATTGTGTTTTACTTTTCTTGCAATCGTTTCACATTTGACCTTTAAACTTTTAAAGACTGTTCGGTGCTGGAGTATAAATATCATGGAGCCGATGACGTCTTAAAAGTAAAGGATGTAAAAAAACAAACATACCTTCCTATACGGCTATACCTATGTCATGTACCTCACCTTAAGTTAACTAATTGATAAAAAAATAGAAAGTCAAAACATTTAAAATGTCTATATACCTACTTACCACAAAATATTCCAAAATATTTTTAAAAAATATCATATCTATGCTGAACATAAATATCCGATAAAAATGTCAACCTACCTATTGGCTATCAGCTATCCACTAAACAGTTACCTATTCATTTTTGAATTAAAACAAAATAACAAAACATATTTTGTTGAAAACTGGTATTATGTAAATATTTCTATTTTCCCAATTATTTTGAAAAGTACTGGGAATTTTACTTTTGACTATCTAATGTAGGTACTTATATGTACCAAGTACTACCAACTATACAATCGATTTGTTACTATAATCCAGAATAGCTCAGAATCTAAGAAATATAATAATACAATATCACACAATATGGTCATAATTTTATAACACCTATAATGTTTTGGTAAAATTATGGTAATATATTTTAT